GTGTGATGTTGCCCCACACCTTGATCTGCGCAGTACGTAGCAAACTCCACCGAAGTGAATTCGCCACCCCGATTAGTCCTCAGTACACGGAGCTTCTTGCCGCTCTCGGCCTCCGCGCGCGTCTTGAACTTCTTGATCGCCACCGCCATTTTGTCCTTGCTCGTCAGGAGTTGCAGCCACATGTAGCGACTACAATCATCCACAAGTAGGAGGAAGTACCGCCGACCACCGCATGTAGCAGGCATGATCGGCCCGCAAAGGTCGCCGTGAACTAGCTTGAGAGCTTCCTTCGCACGATACTTGGCCGCTTTTGGGAAAGGTAGCCTCCTCGCTTCCGGACAGCGGTGTCACACGGCTTCGCCTCCGTGTTTGATGTGGGTAGCCCTCGGAACATCTTCCCCACCGACCAAAAAGCGTCGGCTGAGATGTCCGAAGCGGGCATGCCACATCCACGTTCCTCGGAGTGCCTTGCCGCCAGCATACCGCCGCTCTACCTTTAGGTTGAGCGGTACAACCGTTCGAGGACCTCTTCACCTTGGCGAAGTCATCGCTGCTCCCGGTCTCGATCCTCGTAACGCCGTCCTGATCGAAACTCGCTACCGCGCTCATCCGGCTAACCAATGCCGATGATCTTTGAACGCAATGCGGGATGTAGTATACATCCGTTAGCTAGCTGCGGTGCTCCCGCTCGGCATCGAAGATGATGGTGCAGCGCCCTTGGATAGCCACCCTTGAGCCATCACCAAACTTCACCGTCGATAACATCACCGTCGAGCTCGGAGAAGGAGTCCTTGGAGCCCGTCATGTGGTTTCGCACACGAGTCCAGATACCACCGCTGCTCCTGGTCGACGCCCACATGCCCAAGATGGACTTGGGTGCGTGGTTCGTCGAGGTTGACGGTCTTCAGGGCCTTGCTAGATCCTTCCACCGTCGTCGCCTCTTCCCTCTCCATGGCCTCGACATAAATGCAAAGGTACGTAACGTCGCCATAAGGATAGTGGCCTCATCCTCATCATTGGCTTTCGCCGGTGAGCTCGAGCCTTCTTTTCCTTTTGCTGATTTGGGCACTCCTGCGCCCAATGGCCCATCTTCCCGCAACACCGGCTGGGCATTGAGTCAATTTGCTTCTTCTCCGAAGAAGCCACGCCACGATGTTTTTGTTGCCACCGCGATTGGAGGAGGTTGCCTTCCGGAGTTTCGCCGAGCAGCCCACTCCTCTTCCGTCGGCAGGAGTTTTCCATTGCCGCCGTTCTTTGTCGCTTTGCTCTAGGCGCTCGTCCACCGCCCGTAGACGGCCTGCCACATCCTCGATGGTGAGGGTGGATAAGTCCAGCATCGTCTCTATGGAGAGAGCGATCCGGATGTACTTTTTCCGGCATGGAGTGGAGGAATTTGGAGGCCGCCTCTTCTTCGTCGATGGTAGACGCCATGGCTCTTGACTTTGCGATGAGCGTCTACCAAGCGGAGGGAAAAGTCCTTCGTCGTTTTACCATCCTTGAACTTGAGGTTTGCGTACTCCTGCTTTAGAAGCTGGGCCGTCGCCTTCTTTGCGCGGTCAGAACCGACCCGCATTGCCGCAATGGCCTCCCACGCCTCCTTAGCTGAGCTTTTCGTCCCCAATGGTTCCCTGTACTCTGTCGGTACAGCAGCGAGGATAGCCTCCAACGCTGACATGTCGTCTTCTTCCACGTCGGTGCCCTTGTCATCATGAGCATTCTAGAGCCATCGGGCTCACGAAGCTTGACCTTCATGGTCACCGACCACTCTCTATAGTTAGTGCGGGTCGGCGTCGGGCCAAGTGGTGCCGCCTGACCTCCCACACCGTCGGCGGACAACTACCTCCGGTAGTGGGCGGGCGGCTATAATGATTGCCCGCGCCATCGCCCAACTCCAAACCGCATATCCTCGCCATCGGTTAGAATGACGACGGCGCTTGTGCGGCTCGATACCACTTGTTGGTTCACGGATCACCGTCGACGATAGTGAACTAGTCACGACCACTAGTCTCCCACCACTAGTCTCCTGCACGGACCCTAGTCTAGCACTCACCGACCACTAGTCTCTGCACCACTAGTCTCCTGCACTGGACCGCTAGTCTCTCACTGCACTGCACCACCACTAGTCTCCTGCACTGCACCACTAGTCTCCAGCACTGGACCACTAGTCTCCTGCACCACTACACCGGTTACGTCTGCACCCACACACTACGGATCGAGCTAGAAGAAGAAGGGAGAACAGAGTAAGCACGCACAATACAAGACAACAACGTTGGCCGAAGCCCTGTCTGTGTGATGACAAATCTGAGCTCTCTTTACTGAGATGCCTTGGTGCCCTATTTATACAACTCTATCTATCTAACTAAAGTTATAGCTCACATCTGTATGAATGTAAGTAGATAAGCATCTGAGGCTGACTCTGCACTTGCCCATGCGATGTGCCTCTGATGTCTGCCAGGTGAGCCATGCGGCGCCTGCACCTACAGCGGCTACTGTATTACAGCAGGGGGTAAAGTCGGCGCCGTCTTCCTCTGCTGTGTTTCACACAAGGTGGTAGTAGATTAGCTAACACATAGTGCAGCATGAAAAAGAAAAAGAAAAATCTCTGTATGTTTTTTCTCTGAAATACTCTCTATGTTCGAGGTTTTAAGCTGTTTTGGTTCTTCGTAGCTATCTTACAATCTTAAACGAAGGGAATAGTTCTCCCTCTATGTTACAGAAGAAGACTGACAGTAATCTCATTCCCAGTTGGCACTCTCCTGATGATATGAAATAGTTGATGTGAATTTGTGGGCTCAGTAATGCAGCACACTAGGAGTAGTAGTTGTTAGCGAAATGCAAGTGTGGTGGTGTTCCTGATCAGACATACACATAAGTACAGATGGATGAATAGATAATTCAGCTGCAAGCAAGCTACAGCTTCAGACAATCAGACATCTGAACATATATAATCATGCATGATGGCTGGCAGATTAGACACATATGCTTTGTCGTAGCATGCAAATGCAACGAGTACACGTATGCAGGCAGTTTCAAGTACTCCTACGTCGTTTGGTGCTGACATGACACTCTAACAGGAACAGGAAGGATATAAACACACACAAAAAAGGGCAGAATTTGGTTTGGAGAGCAGTCACAGTCCATCATGCAATCAGACATCACGTACAGCTTTATTATTTTGCTTATTAGGTGCAGGGTTGCTCTCATTCCATCCAATCAGCATTATATATATTCATCAGCAATAATCACCATCCCCCTTGATCAGCAATAATCACCATCCCCTCAATAGCTTTTCAACATTTTTATATAGTACTCATAATGAAAAGCACAATATTTATCATCAAAATAAAGTGCGGCAGAAAGAGAAAGGGTAGGCAGCATGTGGCGTGCTTAGAGCGGGAGCAGCGTTCGTTCTTGGCATACTGTGTGTCTCGATTCTTGGCATTCAAACCGGACGGACCTCATGAGGGCTTGTTCGGTTAGGGTGGATTGAACTCAGGAATTATTCCCGCTGATACAAATTAGACAACCAATCTGCCTGGGAACTGTTCCAAGCAGGGGCGGATCTAGGGGGGCTGCTGGAGCTACAGCTCTCTAGTGAGCCTGATTTCTTCATTAGACTACGATTATTTATCATCAAATCACTATTAATCTCTAGTTCTATCCCTAAATCTTTATTACTATCCTGCATCCGCCTATGGTTCCAAGTCACCGTTCCTCGTCAAACGAACGGGCCCCGAGGCTTTATCCGATCCGGCGGGGAGCTATGAGCCTGTTCGGCAGGACTGAAAAATAAGTCAAAATATTATTCCAGCTGATTGTTGTGAGAGAAAAAATACTGTTCTGCCTGAAATCACTGTTCACGTGAACAGTGATTCGTGAGGAGGCTGCCCAGGCAGCCAGCCACCGGCCAGCCAGCCGAACAGCCCCATGGATCGGTGTGTGCCGGCACACATCTTGTGCGAACCGTACGTACGTACCTCTCTGTCTGATATATATGATCCGCGCGCAAGTGAAGTGGTACGCACGTACGATTGGGACATGCATGGACGTCGACACGGCGTACGTGTCTACGGCGATGCCGATGCGGCGGCCGTATCTGTAGATGCATGAAACGCGACAATATATATATATATATATATAATATATATATATATATATATATATATATATATATATATGTAGCCAGCTACAGAATAACCTATTCTGTAGCCGGGTCCAACCCGCGCGTGCCATGGCGCAACCAGGCACCACATAACAGGCCAATAGGCAGTCCTGCTGGATCGGCTCCCACCCAGCCTACTCACGCACAACAGCTCCGTAACCCGGCTCGGCTCCGTCATCCACGCTCTCGAGCCATAGGGGAGCGCCGCAAATTTCTCTACGACTCGTGAGGCCATGACATCACAAACTCCAAATCATAATCGTGTCCTTCGTTCGCCACCAGACGCTCCGCCGGAGAAGGTCCGTCTCGGCCACATCGCAGCTTCAAATCGGACCTGGCCATCCATGCCAGCGGGGAGAGGATCTTCAGGTGAACACTCCCCATCGATGTGAGCAGAGATAGGATCTCCAGGTAAGCCGCTGTAAAAATCTGCATGACTCATCCAATCTCGAGCAGATTGCTTTTGGATTAAGAGCAGGTTCCTTTTGGTCTAGTTAGCAAGTAATTGGGAATTCATATGTCGTAGCCTTGGAGTTGATGCCTTTGGGATGGATCTCAGTCGCAGCGCCTGCGCACACACCAGGTGTTGGTCGTGCTAAATAAAAATCTCATGGTAAGATTTTGTCGCAATATGATTTTACTATTACCAGATTAGCTTTTCCCCTCGCTGCTTAGTGCGTATTGGAGACAAGATTGAGCAATCGGATTTCCACTGGTTTGTTATTTCATTAGGATTTCTTCTTGCCGATGACAAGAGATGGATGGGCTTGCTTTCATTGATTGGACCTGGCTGTGCAGGTTGGTTTGTTGCTCGTGGGAGATTAGTAGCTTGCAGGCGTCAATCGTAACTCTGGACTTGGATCTCTGCTTGGTTCTCCGCCCCGGCACCCTTCCAATTAAGGGAGCAATTGATCAACGATCCCACGAGCTCGCATCCCCGCCGCGGCCTTCCTTCTCCGTCGTCGCAGAGGAGGCTCGGCACACGGCGGCCCGGCGCAGACACGCAGCCCAGCAGAGACCACCAGGCCGCTAGCTTGGCCATGGCCGGCCCTGCTCGCGTTCGCCGCCAGCAGTGACCGATAGTGGCGCGCTACTCCAGCGTGCTCCCTGCGGCGTCGACCTCCACCGCGTGACCGACGGGGACCTCCAACGCGTCGACCTCGCCGGCGGCCCTGCGACGCGCTCTCCCTACGGTACCACCACCAGCCCTCTTCCCATGGCAGATCGGAGCAAGGGCTGTTCCACGACGAACCCATGGAGGGGGCGGCCAGTCCGGAGCATCCCGTCGTGGTGTTGACGGCCACCATGGCGGATGTACGACCTGGGCACGGATTTGGTTATCGTAAAATAGTTTCTCGTAATTATCGAAGGCATTCTCTAATTATCGTAACCAACTATACAAGTTCTGGTAACTATTATCGTACTCGTTCAACCTGGAGGCCACTCCCATCGGATTAGCACAGATTATTCCTTTAGAATATATTATATATATCTGAGTATGGCATCACTGTATACGTATTTCGATTTTCCTTCTAGCATTGTCCCATGAATGCAGTCAACAATGACAATTAGTTCATGGTGGTCTTGACATTATACTATTATAGTAACCGGATGTGGATCTGAACACATGGCACCAATTTTTGTTAATTTCCCAATCTAATTATCATCATCCTGATCAATTCAGATTATTGTTTGTGTTTTTGTAAATTATTAGCCTTGATATTACTGCAAATGGTTACCAGAAACATACTCAGGACCATAAATTGCGGCAACCTCAATCCTGAATTATCGTAAATTTATCATGGCAGATTTGTTTTATTATTATAGTAATCAAATAATCATGGCATAAAATTGTCGTAACTTCCTACTCAAATTGCAGTCCGAGCAATAAGAATTATGGTAATTCCATAGTTTGCGAGCATTGGTCCAACATGTCCCTATTCAAATTATCGTAAATTACCATGGCACATGGGCCTTATTATTATAGTAACCAAATACTTCCTAGCTAGCTGCACTTTGTATTATCGTAACACGTACATGTATACACTTCGGTACCTTTGCACATGCATGGACGCCGCGACGTACACTTGCATTATCGTAATTCAATTTATTATAAATATCAAAAATATAGTATGGTAAATTAGTGTTGTTGTGATAGCAACAAGTTTATCAGAATTTCCTGACATGACGCCAAATTCTAGTAACTACCCATCCTGATTACCGTATCCAGCCATTTAAAATATCCAAATTATTGTATGGTAAATTTTAGTTCGGAATTGCTTGACACCAAACTGTGGTAATTCTACGACCTTGCTAACGTATTCTAGTAACCATGTACTCGCTTGGCATGCACGTACGTGTAGATAATATAATAGCTATGCATACTTTTTAGGTAGGAAATTAAATTCAGCGGTAATCATGGGCAGGCAGTAACTGTAGGCGTGGACCACCGTAACCGTGTGGCTCAGCACATCGGCTCATTCGGCTCCGCGGCTTCCTGTGTCAGCGGCACGGAACTGGATCGGAAGCACCAGCGGGAGACACTGGTTCGCTGGATTGGCTGGCTGTAGCTGGCTACAGAGTTCCCTCTCTCTCTCTCTCTCTCTCTCTCTCTCTCTCTCTCTCTCTATATATATATATATATATATATATATAGTACATCTTCCTCTTGCTATAACTGTATCGGATTTCGTACGTGACATGGTATGTATGTATGTATGTATGCATGCATGCATGCATGTCAGGTGCCACGTACACGTGCTTGCGGCGGGAAGGGAAATCAACAATCCTCGATCGCACCACAGTCCACAGACAGCTACGTAGCGCTTTGTTAATTCTGCCCAGCGCGCACGACGTCGTCGATCCGTCATCGCCATCGGCAGGCAGACGAGCCGGCGAGCGCCACGGTGACCACGAGCTAGCGCCTGACGACATCCGGAAAATAAGAGCAGCGGTGATTGGTTGCATTGCATGCATTGGTTCCTTCCGCCGAGACGAGCTGAGACAGTGAGTGAGACTCACGAAAATATTGACGGTCTCGCCGGCAGCGGTACGTGTCGCTTCTCGTCTTTGAATACCCTGGTCATTGGATTGGATCATCATTCAAAGCAACACCTCAGCTTCAATTCGCACTAATCTGCAGGACCTCAATTTCGTTGTTTCTTTTCACTGGCTTGGCACACAACATTACCATTACCATTACCAAGAGTGAACGAATGAACTGGACTATCCTAGTGCCGTACTGGGGACTCGCATGTCATGGGGTCTCCTGGGGTTTTGGACCTCTATATATAGCCCATGGTCTTGTCGGGCCGGCCCAGCAAACAACGAGCATACAAAATTATCCTCCCTCCGTCATTCCAAATTATAAATTATTTTAATTTTTTTTATAGTCAAGGCATCTCAAGTTTGATGAAGCACTAACCCATAGGGCGTGCCTAGCGTCCGGACGTTCGGACGCCCGCGCCACTGCCCCCCCCCCCGATCTCGCGTCCCGAGCCTTCCCACCCACATCCTGCCCGTGCCAGTACAGACCGCCTCCGCCTTCCCGCGCCTGACAACGAGGCGAGACGGCAGAAAGGCAATGAGGGAGATGCAACACTCGATTTAGTTTTGAAACATTCAGATGCAACAATTGCAACATACGTCTGAAAACAAATGAAACATGTGCCCGATGAAACAATAGCAAAAAAAAGTAAAAACACTTGAAGCCAATGTAAACATGCACAACATCCAAATAACACACTTACATTATATGTGTGAAAATATATGCAACATCCAAATAAACACACTTGCAACATATGTCGAAAAAAAACAGATGAAACATTGAGAACAAGAGCTTGCAACATACGTGTACAACCATTGCAACATGTGCGGCATCCCAACTACTTTTGCAACATCCGTATGAAACACTTGCAAACTTACCTCTAAAACATTTAAAACAGAGGCTTGCAACATGCAGTTTCAGCGTAAACATCTCCTTGCTGCTTGGAGAATGGAGGCTCGTCGGCATATGGAGTTCGCCAGAGGCAACGCCCCGACGACGGTGCTTGTAGGTAGCGGCTTGGCGGTGGCTGCACGACAGGGCAGGGAGGCAGCGGCCGCCCACCGCGCCCCGCAGGGTCGGTAGCCGATTGCCGCAACTCGTCGCAAGCGGCTGCGCGCCTGGTAGGGCCTGCAACCGTGCTGCCGCGACTCGCAGGCAGCCACGCGCCGAAACCAGGAGATGGCTGGCAGTCGAGGGTCACGTGCGGGAGCGAAGCAGAGCGGAGCAAGGCATGCGGGAGTTGATTTTTTCCTTTTTATTAGGCGAGCGGTGCATGCGGCAATGAGTGAAACAAGTGTCCGGCATTCTAGACATCTTAATGGTAGCATTACCATAACCAATGGACAGTCATATAGACAGTGAGCATTCTTTTCGAACAATAAATTAATTAATTAACCAGCTAGCTAGCTGAGATCGTAATATCGCCAGTAAATTAGCAAAGTCTGGCACCTGATACGGATCAATATTTTCGTTTGAAATCGACAGTAAATTAGCAAAGTCGACACCTGAAATATTTGCCCATGAAGACGTCACTGGCACCTCATACAAAGCTCACATATAGCATATAACATATATAAAGCTTATTTTTCTGTAGACCATAAGCTGCTACGGAGTAGCATAATCCCCTCGGAGGGGAGAAGCTCCGTTCGAACGTCCCCAACCCTGACCCCGCCTCTGGATCCCTCCCCTCCGCCGGCGCCCCACCCCGCCCTCTCCCCCTCCCTCCTCCCCCCCTTGACCACGCGTAGGGGCACGCGTGCTCGTGGCTCCGCTGCCCGTGGCGGACCATTTCACCGGCCCTCAGCCGCCGGAGCCGGGAGCTGCAGTCGCGGCCGACCCACCATCCGCCGGGATCAGATCTGGCGGCCTGCGAGCCCCCGCCGCCATCGGGTGCTCCAGCCCGCGGCCTCCACCGGCGATGTGGAGCGCACGGCGCAGTCTGCGTAGCCACTGGAGCCCTCTCCATCGTGCCACCGCCCAAGTCCTCCTCCTCCTCCAGCGCGCCTCCGCCACCCAGATCCGGCGCGCCGCCGCCCTCACCACCACCGGGCCCCGCTCCTGCAGCAGAGGCGGCCACCCAAAGACGAGGCACTGGCGGCGCCCGCCGGCCGGACGGTGCGATGGCGCTCTGTCGTCGACGACTACGACCACTCCACGCCGCTTCTCTCGGTCCCAAGTCCGCACCTTTTGAGCGGTCGTGGCGGCGACGCCGGACACCAAGCCCTCCACCCTCTCACCGGTGGCGGCTCCGTTCTACCTAGGTGGCGCCCTGGGAGGACGCATGAAGCATCGTCGGTGGGTGGATGAGGATGAAGACGACGACGACGACAATGACTCCGACAACGACCCCCTAGCAACCTACCTGGATGCTACTCGTCGGCCGGCCAAGCCGGTAGCTGCTTCCCCGCCGCGCGGCCAAACTCGTTCGGCCATGGTTCTGGGCTGTGGCAGAACGGACGCAGGACAACAAGGGCCTAGGCGAAGACGGAGGAAGCGCAGCTGGCCGCGCCCCCAGTTGGTGCACGGCCTGCCTGCTCAACCTGTGGAAGGCCGCGTCCCTGCCCGCCAGCTCCTCGGTCGTCACGGACGGGTTTCGACGGAGGCTGCCCAGTGCACGACGGTCTCGCCTACGACGTTGTCAGTGCAGGGGCCGCCACAAGTCGCCGCCACGTGGGGGACAGGCGGCGTCGTGGATGTGGAGACGCGTCCTGACCCAACGCTGGTTGGGGCAGCCACCCCGAGAGACACGACGCTTTGTGGCTGCTACGGATGCCGTCGGCCGCAGTCCACCCCCTCAAACGACCTCCGCCGATAGACGCCTCAAGCGCTTCACCGAGCGAGTCACAAAGGCGAGACAACCGCCACTCCTGGAGCTGCCCGGAGTTGATACGGCCCTCGCTGGACGTACACCGTCCGCGCTACCCTAGAGGAGTAGGTGGATAGCGGTGCAGAGCATATCGCATATTCCGGCGTCCAAGCGAGGTGAGCACCTTGTC